TCCACCCAAAACCCACTGCATCGCATTTCTCAAGCAAAAATGCCATCAGAGCCCACCGCAGTAGTTTTCATCAGCAAAAGAACCATCTACCCCCAAGATCATTTAAGCAATTCCATTAGAAGGAAGCAGTAGCCACCACACATTTTTAAATAGTATTTTTCTTGCTATTTTATCATTATTTAAGAAGCAGGGAAAATACAACTGGGAAGATTTAATGAAATCAGAAATTCCTGCACAGATTTTGGCAGTTTCTGTGTATCATGAAAGATGCCCACAAAGGTATAAAAAGCCCAGACACGGCGAAGCTCCTGTGACTTATGTGAAAGCAGACCCCATCTCTCCTAACACAGAGCTGCATCTCCAGCATCCGTCATCCCCCAAGTCCTCCGACTGCCAGCCAGCCCCAGGCGATGCACACAGACTCTGCCCTCCACACCCGCCCTCGCTTAACAGCACTTTATGATTTTTCCTCTTAAACTGTCATGGGATTAACACAGCATAAAATGTTTGCATTCTCTCTCATCACCCCACAGTTTCCAATTAACTGCATATTCTCTGAGGACTTTGCTATAGGATCCACAGCCTTCTCTCCAACCCCGATTACGGCAATTATCCCCCAGTTTTCACATGGATGATTGAATCAAGACCCCAGCCTGACAGTTTTTTACCTCATCTCCATTATTTTTCATCTCCACATAACCACAGATACCCAGAGCATGTTTAAACATGTCACTAGCTAATACTTCACCTTTTAAATCTCAAACTTTAATTCTCCATCCCCAGCAATTTTTAGCATTCTGTCTCTCTCTTCTTCACTCCCATTACAACGACTTTTTTAGCCTTTTGAGAGAATTCTGGGAAAAGAAGGCAGAGCGAAAGTTTCTCCATCCCTCTCCTTTTTAGAAACTATCCAAAAATAACAAGGAGAAAGACAGAAAAGGCCACCTTATCATCATTAAAAACTGATGGAAGTCTATAACTCTGGATGAAAATACACAAAGAAGAGTTCTAAAGGGCAATGAAAATTAGACCAGGGCATTGAAAGTTTGCAGGAGAGCTCAGCAGAACCCATGTGTTCAGGGCAAGCAGCGGTACCCAGTGAGAACAGCAAGGTTCCCAGGGAGGATGGGCAGCGGGAGACTCTGGGACGCCTTCGTGTTGCAACGAAGTGGCCAGGAAAGTGAACTGAAAGAGGAAATATATAAAATAGCTGTGTGCCATGGAAGTGACAGCACAGGGAATAAAATATGGGTAGCAAGCAGCCCTGCAGCTGCTCATCTTGCCAGCTGGAGAAGAAAAAAAGATCTCAGCACGCCTGTGTGTGTATGCGTGGACAAACCCATGCTCGTGCATGCGTATGTACACACACACCTCCACCTTGTACCCAAACAGAAACATACCAGACTTCACAGAACCCTGTGGGAACTTCCTGCAAACCCAGAACACAGAACCAGAGCCTAACTTGCTTGGGGATTATCAGACCTCAGCTGACCTGGGGAGGGGAAATAAACACCCAACTCCAGCCCACTCTAGCCATCCTGTCCCACATAAGAGGGGAGTAAAGACTAAGAAACACTTGTGAAGCTCACGGCCCAGAGCACAGGCTCACTGAAGACTGAGACCTGATCACAGGACTACAGAACGCTTCCCAGCACCCTCCCCACCATGTTACTAAGGCCTATTTACAGCAGCTCCTTTCTCCTGGTACATTATGTCCTGCTATGGAGAAAAAATGACAAGGCACACCAAAAGGCAACAAAACAAAACAAAACAAAACAAAACAAAAAAACAACCACACAATTTGAAGAGACAGAGCAAGTATCAAAACCAGACGTGGCAGGGATGTTGAAATGATCACACCTAGAATTTAAAACTGTGATTAATATGCTAAGGGCTCTAATGGGTGAAGTAGCATGCAAAGAATAAATTGGGAGTTCAAGATTTGCAAATACTAACTTTTATAAACAAACTAGATAAAAAACAAATTTCTTCTGTATAGCATAGGGAACTATATTCAATATCTTGTAATAACCTATCATGAAAAAAAACGAAAATCACATAAATATGTATGACTGAAACATTATGCTGTATACAAGAAATTGACACATTGTAACTGACTGTACTTCAATTTAAAAAAAGAACAGCGACAACAAAAAGAACAGATGGGCAATGTAAGCAGAGAGATGGAAGTCTAAGAAAGAACCCCAAAGAAACGCCAGAGATAAAAGTCACTGTAACAGAAATGAAAGGGGCCTCTGATGGGCTTGTTCATAAGCTGGACAAGGCTGAGGCAAGAACCTCTGAGCCTCAGGCATCCCAGCAGAAACCCCCAAAACTGGAAAGCAAAGATAACAAAGACTGAAGACAACAGAATGGAAAATCCAAGGACTGTGGGACAACTGCTAAGGGTGTAACAGATACATCACGGGAACACCAGAAGGAGAAGAAAGAGAGAAAGCAACAGAGAAACACTGGAAATAACAGTGACTGAGAATTCCCCCAAATTAAAATCAGACACCAAAACACAGATCTAGGAAGCTCAGAGAACACCAAGTAGGATAAATGCCAACATAGGCTGCCCATAGGCATATCATCTTCAAACTAGAGAAAATCAAAGATAAAGAAAAAATCTTGAAAGAAGCCAGAGGAAAATAACACTTTCCTTACAGAGGAACAAAGATACGAATTACATCCAGCTTCCCCCCAGGAACCATGCAAGCAGGACGAAAGTGGAGTGAAATATTGAAAGTATTGAGAGAAAAAGCCACCAACTTAGAATTCTTTACCCTGTGAAATGAATCGTTCAAAAGTGAAGGAGAAATAAAGACCCTCAGACAAACAAAAGTGAAGGGAATTGGTTGACAGCAGACCTACCTTGCAAGAAATGTTAAAAGAAAGTCTTTACAGAGAAGGAAGCATACAGGTCAGAAACTGGGATCTACATAAAGAAAGGAAGAGCATCAGAGAAGGGACAAGTGGAGATAAAATAAAGACTTTTATTTCTCTTATTCTTAATTGATCTAGCCGATAACAGCATGTTCAAAGTAACAGCAACAATGTATTCAATTACACATGCTGGTGCATACATCTTATATACATATGTGCTTGTGGGTGCTTTTGTATAAGTGAAAAGAAAGTAATGACACAAGGGACCAGACGGAGGAATTAGGATAATTTTGTTACTATAAAGCACTCACACTGCCTGTGAAGTGGTGTAGCATTATCTGAATGTGGACTTGGATTAATTATAAATGTATATTGAGAATTCTATGACAACTACTAAAAAAGTTAAAAAAGAAGTATAACTGATATGTTAAGAAAGCCGAGAAAATGAAATCTCATAGAATGCTCAATTAAAACCAGAAAAGGCAGAAAGAGAGTGGAAGACAAAGACAGGAACACAGAACAAGAATGACAAATACAAAGCATTAACAAAGATGGTAGAGACTTGTCTACCTATGTCAATATCACATAAAAAGTAATGTTGACATTATTAGTGTTCAGTTCATTAAGGAAAAGTCAGGAATTGGATAAAAATTTCATGCACCCATGTATTGATTTTCTTTCTCTTGAGTAGTGCTAGAAAATGGAATTTATGAGAAACAATATAAAGAAAACTGCCTTTCAAAAAAAAACAATTTTAATAAAAGAAACTCTGTTTTTTTGGTTTTTTTTTTTTTTTTTTGATGATTCAGAATCTCCTACGGTTTGTTCCTTGGAAAACTTCTTCCCACAGATATAAAGGATCGTTCATGAATTAAGGTTTATGGGGTCACATTGGTTTGGAGAATGTTGCAATCTACAAACTCCCTTCCCGAAATTCACAACACACATGAGCAAATCAAACAGCATGAAAAGTCCCACAGTAAAGACAGTTTGTTTAGCCCAATGTTTCCTAAATTTTGGAAAGCACAAAGAAATGCTGGCAAAAGAAAAGTGATCTTGTAACTCAAAAGCACACGATTTGTAAAGGTGATCAAGCGAATTAGCTACAGATGAACATGATGCATGTCTATACCCATGGTCTCCATGTCTCCTGCCTGAGTGAAAGGTGCCCCTTTCCTGTATAAGGACTGACCCCTCCACGTGCACTCTGCTTGCCGTCCCCTGTTACTTTCTCCAAAACTTTATTCCTACATCACCAGTTTTCTATTGATATTTTTCTCCATTGAGATGCTGGCCATAATGTATGAAAACATTCTTTTCCAAGTCCTATTTTGAGAAAGAAATTACTGGAAAAATGTCAAGCTGTCACTCATTTCTTTGCTCCCCCTTTATAGCACAATTCTTGTCAGTTTCTACTTGACATTTCTTCTTGATGATGGTACAACATCACTCTTCAACCTGTTCTAACCTGGCTGTCTTCCAACCACTCCACTGAACTGTTGTTGTCAAAGTGTTGAAATAATCCATGTTGCCAAATTCTGCAGACGTTTTTTAATTCTCATCTTATTTTACACTCAACAGCATTTCACACACTTGGCCACTCATTCCTCAAAACACTACCCTTTGTTTCTGGGATGTCATACTCCTCTGCTTTTCACCATATCTCACCTCAGGTATCTTTAATGACTTCACTGCATCCATCTGACCTCAAAAAGTTAGAATTCCTCAGGTTCATTCCAGGTTTTGTGTTTCTAACCTCTTACTAGATAATTTCATTCATTTCCATGGCTTTAAATAACGCGTATGATGAGATTCCAAGTGCCAAATGTATAGCCCCGGCTCCTAATTCTGTTCTGAGCTCTAAATTCTTAGTGTTAGCTGCCTGTTGACACGTTGGCATATATACCATGCACATCTCAAAGGAAACAAGCCCCAAAGGGGCTTTCCCACCTCATCTCAACTTCTGCTTCTGTGTGATGTATCTCAATAAACTGCACCTCCCACCACCCAGTACCTCTAGACAAATATTCCAGAGCCACCCTCATGTCCTTCCTCCCTTAAATCATAATCTAAGTCATTAACAAGATGTGTCGATTTTCCCCTCAGATACTTACCTTGAACCTGTCCACTTCTCCGCACCTCCATTTCCACCTTCTCAGTTCAAGCCAGCATCTTCTCTCGCCTGGTCTGTTCTAGCAATAGCTTCCCAGCTGATCTCTTTCTTCCTTCTTCTTGCCTCTCTCCAGTCAATACTCCCGAGAGCACACGAATGACTTTTAAAAATGCAAGTCCAATGGACTCACTCCACATCCCGCTTATTAAAAACCTTCCATGGCTTCCTCGTGAACCTGGAATGAAGTGCAGTGGAAAAGGTCAGGTCCTCACCTGCCTCTTCGTGATCCATTGGCCACACTTCTCACTGTGTGCTGGCTTTTCTGCCTTCGGTCCTCTTCCTGGAAACACACTAAGCTCTTCCCCTTCTGCTCTTTCTCTACCTTATTGTTCTTCCCCTATTTTCCATGCAGCTGACTTCGTTCATATCTCACCTCCAATGGCACCTCAGCCCATCCCTGCCAATCCTATTAAAGGTCCCAGCACACCCACCAGGTTGTCACACCCCCACGTTTACTGCCTTCAAAGTAAATGATCCGCACTGACTGTGTTTATTATTAAGCGGTGCTGGTGAGGTGGGCTGGGTATGATTTGGGTGTTGTCTTCTCTCTATACACTCCTCCCACACATCCCTGAGGGCAGAGATCTCTCCTGTCTAGGTGACCACTGTATCCTAATGCCCAGAGCAACGCTGGCACAAAATACCTCCTGAGTTAGTATTTGTTGGATAAATTGATGCAAGATAATATGTGATTATTTTTCAGTGTCAACCCAGAAGGTAGCATCCTCGTGTATTCCAATGGGAAGCAAGTCTGGGGAGGCCAGTCCAGATTACAACAAGGGAACCCACCTGGATGTGAAGTCTGGACCTTCTAAGGTGATATATATCCCTGGTGCACCTGGGGTCTGGGTATGGAGATAATTCACCACCAGTTTTTGCAGGAAATTTCAGATAAAAGGCACATCTCATGGCCTCCACATCTTGTTTTCAAACTGCATGAATTCAAAATCCTGGACTGCGAAGAATTCTTCCCTCCCTGCTCATCTTTTTCATGTAAACCTTATTTTCACTAAAGTGTAATTTACAGTTTAGCCACTTGAGGGCACTTCAGCTCTTTTATAGGCACTCTGTTTTTAAAAAAATGCTGAGCACCTTTCAAAAGGCAAGAATTAATTTCTCTACAAATCCTTGATTCTGACACTTATAAATCTCCAGTTCCTAAAATTCAAAGGAGCTATTTCTAATCCAGGAAATTGATGTCATGAACTCATGAATTACTTTTATTTAACTCACCATGATAACTCCTGTCTTCAGTTTCCGTGGAGAGATCGCAGCGCTATCCATGTCAGGCTAATGATTCACGTGGGTGAATGATCAATGACCAACTAGGTGAACACTAGAACCACGCCAGAGAATGTTCAAAATACGCACTCCTGAGTCGCACTCTATCCAGCAGACGCATTAAATCGCAACCACCAGGGTGTAGCACTAACTCATGAGGTTTTTAGCAGCTCCCCAAGTGCTTCTGATACACTTATGGATGAGGACAAAGGCCAGTGTCTTCAACCAGCCTTGAAATACACATTTATATTTTTGCACAACTGTGCTTCAGAAAGGACAGGAATCGGGACATGCCCGGGAATCACTGTAGGACACGTGGGCATTTCCTTAAAGCATAATTACCAAATAACTGCCTCAAAGGCTGCCACGAAATGCTTCAGGTCTATCTTCAGTCCCTTCGGGTCCTTTGTCAAGGGTCTCATTCCTGAGCTGAGACGTCAGACTGGCCTGATGTGGATCCATGTCCAGCTCTGAAGCCGGAGAATCACGTCTGGTGAACACGTGGAGGGGCTGCCTGGACGGACAGGAACAGCACCTACCCCTCCACACCACACCATGCTCCTCTGCTCTGAGCAGATAACCCACCTTGAGTCCTCCTAAACTGCCAGCCGCATCCACATTTCAGCGCCAGCAACGCCATGGAGCCCATTTGCCCAGCAAACTCATGTCAGTGAACATGTCTGTTTTTCCTGCAAGAACACAGCAGGAGGGCTGCGTTTTGATTTTACATCTTTTTTCCCCCAAGCCTTGGAAGCCAACCCCCCCAGGAGACAACAGGAAGGCACCTTCTTCCTTCATTCCTCCTTGAATCCACCTCTCGTCCTGATAAAAGTAGGAAGAAAAAGTGTTTGTAGTGAGGGCTGTTTCCACACTATTCTAACACAGAATTCATGACATCAGGATAGTGGGGTGTGCTGTGCCTGGAATAAAAGAGCCATAGCTTCCCACCCTGACCTGCCAGCATATTATTTCACCTCTATTCTGCATCGACAAAGTGGAGAAACAAAAATATGTATCTCTGCGGAGACTGAACAGGACAACACGTTCTGTAGGATGTGGTCCACAGCCCCACATCCACTCCCAGCCTTTCCTGGTCCACTGCGCTGGAAAGCCAAACATCTCCTTTCCCCGACTCCCTGCCGCAGGGGCTCCGGGCGTGAACTGTGTTCTGTCAATCAGAGGCAGAAGCTGGATGTGAGCAAGAGGCTATGTTCCTTCAGTGCTTGGCCATCTCTGCTGGCAAGCACCGTGTTAGAACTAGGAGGTTTTCTGGAGTGGAGTCTGTCCATTTTCTGGATTTTTCAGTGTCGTGAGACTTGTGGCATTACAGCAGGGATGACCTCAGAGGTGGGAGTTCCTGGTGAGTCGGGTCTGGGACGCTTTGGCGGTTGTCCCAGAAGGTCCACCTCAGAACCTATGTCTGTGGCCCTTCCATCCGCTGATTGTAAGGACCTCATTGCTGCCTTAACTCACTTCCACTTTACGTCTCTGGAGCAGCTTCTGTTTCCTATCCTGAGCCCGGACTAACACAGACATACAAAGAGCTTAATAGAGTTCGTGGCACTTAGAAACTGCTTTAGAAATGTTAGTTATTATTATCATTTATATTTGATCTTTTAAAAACTTTTTTATTGAGATATAGTTGATGTACAATATTATAAATTACAGGTGTACAATGTAGTGACTCACAATTTTTAAAGGTTCTATTCCATTCATAGTCATTGTAAAATACTGGCTGTATTCCCCGTGTCATACAATGTATCCTTGTCGCTATTTTATACACGGTGGTTTGTACCTGTTAATCCCTGGCCCGTCTTGTTCCTCCCCTTCCCTCTCCCCACTGGTAACCACTAGTTTGTTCTCCATATCTGAGTCTGTTTCCTTTTTGTTACATCCACTAGTGTGTTTTATCTTTTAGGTTCCCTGTATAAGTGATATCATGTATTTGACCTTAATCAACTTGCTTAACCACATTAAGCCTGAGCTTCCTTAACTGTAAAATGGTGACCTGCTTCCGAATCTGCCGTGTAAGTAAAATCAGGTAACGTGTAGAAAGTTCTTAGCACAATGAGCAAGGGCTCCAAAATTTTATCTGTATTTATCATTTTGACTTGTTTCCATTGTTTTTTTTATCATTTTTATCAACGTATAAATTATTTTGATATTAGTCTTCTAATTTAGGATGGAGGTAAAAATCCTGTGCCCTGGACCTCACTCTCTGTGGCAGCATCGGGCAGGTGCATGCTGATGTCTAGGCTACTGATGTGTCGTATGACTTGGTAACACGTCACAGAGAGAGCCAGGCTAAATTAAAAATAATGATAATAGTTTCTCAAAAACTAATCGTCTGATTCTGACCTGTGGAATTTTTTTCTTTGGACTTTGCTCTACAACCATGAGAGGGCAGACAAGTACAGTGGAAAAATCAGTACATACCAGGCAAGGCAGTAAATTCTTGGTCTGCTTTTTTGAATGTGGGTGGAAGCCATATTTTTCAGTTTATCCTGCTGCAGCAACAAATAGAGAGAGTAGAATAAATGAGCTTAGTATTTTTTATACTGCCTTAAGTTGTATCTCGTTCTTAAAGTTTAATGTCTAACTATATTACTAATATATATATAAATGCAATGATTTCTGTACACTGGCTATAGTCAACAAGCTTGCTTAATTATTAATCGATACTATGTGTATAAAATCTCAAATTTTCTGTGTATATGATTATACCTTCTGCAAATAATGTCAATTTCCTCCTCTGCTAACATTAAAGTGTTTTCTTTTCCTTATCGCATTGCTTGGGGCCACCAGTATACTAGGAGAAAAGCAGTGACAGCAGTATCCTAGCCCTGTTCCTGACGTGAATTGAGAAGTTATTTTTTTACCATTACATTCAACATTTGCTGAGTTCAGCAGCTTTATTAATTTTTTCAATTTAGCAACTTGGACATTATTAATCCCTTTTATTGTGTGTTTCTTCTATTCCATTATTTTTGTACTTTGTCATATATTCTTTGGATTTAATTTGCTGTTCTTTTCCCAAAATCTGACATTGAAATGGAGACCTAGTTGATTCTTAGAATTTTTTTTAAATATATGCATAAAGGCATTTCAATATAATTTTCCAATAAGAATGGAAATAATTAATTTTGTTGGAAAATAATTGAATTATTCAACTAAAGTTCCCAGTATCCTCATTCTGAAATCAAATTCTTTAATCATTTCTATAATATTGTGTAGATTACAATTATTCTTCTAAGTCCTTAGACCTTGCCTTTCCTAATCTTCCATGTCTGCTCTCTTCTTTGGTGTGTGATCTTCCATCTCCAAACATGCTGGATGTAATCACTCCAATTCTCACTTTGGGACGCTCCATTCTATGGCACATCTGGTCTACCCCAGGCTCTGCAGTCAACAGAACACCTGACCCACCTGTTACTCGGCTTCTGAATTCCCATCCTGACCATGAAACCTTTCCTCACAATTGTGGTTTTTGGTTTTTGTTTGTTTTACAGTTTTTGTTTTGTATTTCTCTGTGTCCTATTTTACGGATGATTAGGCTTCAGAATGTTTTAAAGAAATCAACTCAATATCTACCTTCCAATCAATTCTCTTTGATTATCAGCATTATATGGTAAAATGAACCATGATTTCAATTTACAATGATGCTGATTTTAATTTAATTTTGTGGCTGCATTATTTGGATCCTGCTGAATGGTGAGATGAATTTTCTTAATGCTAACTTCCCCCCATGGAAGGTAAAACCAGATGAAATGAACTGATAATTCTCACACAGAATGGCAGATTTATTATTTGGAGTGTGGCACTTCCACAGCCAAGTTTTTAGGTTGTGCAACATTTAACTTGTTTTTGTTCCATGGGTAGAGCCTGGCTCTCACCTGTCAAGTCGTCTTGAAAATGTGTGCTCAAGATCACAATGGGGACAGGACATAAAACGGCGGATGAGTCAGCACACCCCTACAAGCTCTGCCAGGGAAGGTGACTAGGACTGTCTGAGCTGGTATTATTAACCATCTTAGTAGACGGAAAGCCTATTAAAAAATGACTCCTTCCAGATGCTAGCAGAGAGCAGGTTACCAAAGAACTGCTACGGCCCAAACTCTTCAGATAGCATGACTAAGGGGGAAGGCACTTGGGACAACTCTCAATAAGGAGAATTATCCATTGCTGGCAGTTTCTGGAAGCCGTAATTCCTCGGGAACAGCTCAGATCTTTGGCCTCAATGCAATTCATCCAAGTGTGTTTCTCTAAATCTCACTGTTATCAGAAAATCATACCACCTCTCTCATCCTGAGGCAGATGAAAATCATCATCCCATTGTTCCTCATACTTCCTGGAGCATACTGGCCAGGCATATATCTGTAATTGTATACGTTCCCTGAAGGCAAGAATTGTACTTGGCCAAGTTACAGGTATATAATACATGTGTACTGAATTCTTTATTCACAGTGAATCAATCTATCCTCTTTCATGAACACTTAAAAAGAGTGGAATGCTTACAAGAAGATGTTTTATAGTGGTGGTAAGGATTTGGACCATTTTAAAAGACTGCCATGTTACCTGAGGCTATCACTCAACAGAAAAAATGGTGCATAGTTATCCAATCATTTCAAAGATTACAGTGCAATCACACTACCTTAAAATGCATTACTTATGATCACAAAGCAAATATTTCTGCAAAAATAATCACCATAAACCTAGTGATATAGCCATCAGGTCATTTACTAACAGAGTTTTCAATGAGTATCAAGTAAATAAAAGAAGTTGTAAAACAAAACAATTATGAACATCCAAATGTTCACAGAAAATTTATTTTCTCTCTCCTTTTTATCTTGAAAATTTTGAAATCTACAGAAAAGTTGCAAAAACAGTAAAAGAAAGACCCATATGCCCTTTATCTGGTTCTCTCACTGTTAATCTTTTGCTGTATTTGTTTCTCTTGTGTGTGTGTGTGTGTGGTGTGTGTGCGTGCGTGTGTGTGTGTGTGCTGGCCATTTGAGGATTACTTGCAGATATTATAACACTTCATCCCTAAATGTGAGTCTCCTATAAACAAAGGCCTTCTCCTATATAACAATACAATTATCTCACTCAGGAAATACAACATTAATACAATGCCACTATCTAATACACAGGCCAACTTCCAATTTTCCCAATGATCCCAATAAAGTCCTTTGTTTTCTAAAACTTACTTTTCCTCTCTAGGCTACAATCTAGGATCACACATCACAATTACTTGTCATGTCTCGTCAGTCTCCTTTAGTCTGGGACAGTTCCCCAGCCTTGTTTGCCATTCATAACGTTGACATGTTTAAAGGTCTGTTTAAAGTGGTCATCCAGAATGTGCTACAGTTTGGACTGTTCTGATGATTAGCCTCAGTTTAAACACTCTGAGCACGAACACTACGCAGATGAAATGTGTCCTTCTTGGTGCATTAACAGTTATGTCAGTTTCTCCCTTCAAACGCCAAACTGTTCCTCAGTACACCCCACACCCAAGTCTGCTATTTCATGAACACACACAAAAAAGGGAAATGCTTGCAATGAATCAACCCTGAATCAACTGGGGTTGAGGTGGGGAGGTACCTTCTCCTGCCTCTGCTAACACAGCCCTCCTGCGTGGTCCGCTCTCTGCTCTTCCCCAGCTACCCAAGGGTTCCTTTCTTTCACTTCTCGACTCAAGTACCACCATTTACCACAAAAATTTTCTGTACTATACTCCTCCAGGCATACACATCTATCTCCAAAATTCCTCCCGTTGTCTAAAACCCACCAGTACTGCATCACAACAAACAACTAAATAGCTCTCCTTGTATTAATACTAAACTTATCACAGTTGTACTAGAAAGCCACTCCATGGACCTAGAATTCGCTACATTTGGATTTTATTCCCGGAAGAGACTATCAGAATTCAGAGCACTTAATCAATAGTAATTTTGTAACCCTTGATGAATGAGAAAATTGACATCATCTTGGGAAAAAAAATCTATCCTGCAATTAATTGCCCCACTGTCTTTAAGAACTCATCCAAGAAAACAGTGTTTTCAATTTAGCCCCCAGAGAGCCATTTTTTCCTACTTCTATATGTAACTGTACTTTGTTCTGAAAAACCTTTTTAAGGAAAGTTTAAATTCTCAAGGACATTTTGCAGAAATTAAGAATGGAGAAAAACATCCAATTTAAAAAGTCCCTCCTCTTTTTTTCAAGTAGCACTCCTTATATTCTTCAAAAATAGGTCAGTTATGGAGGGGAAATAGCTCAGTGGTAGAGTGCATGCTTTAGCACACACGAAGTCCTAGGTTCAATCCCCAGTATCTCGATTAAAAAAAGAAGTTTAAAAAGGTCAGTGGATCTGAAATAATCATAACAAAAATAACAAAAAAATTGAGACAATAAAGAATAACGTGTTATCTCAAGTAATTATATATTCATTCTTTATTACTTTGTACATAAATTTCCTAAAATCTCAGGGCTTGAGAGCTCCACATACTATGTTTGGCTTGCGTCTACCCTCACCTCTGTTTTAGTGTAGAGCATGTTTTCCCGTGGTGAATGCTGCTTCCTTCTGTCTTCAGATTCATTAATCTCCAGCATCAACTTAACCTCATCACAGATGAGAATATGCAGAAGGCTCCGGGGAGGCCGTGGTCCATCACAGTTTCTCGTTGCTACAGACACACAGAAGCACTGACGCCTGCTACAGATTCTCCTGTCAGTCTGTTAACTAAATATGGGTAAATTTTTCTATATGGAAAACATTACAAATAAATGCCTTTTTAAATTATATCAGGGCCTGATGAACTTGCTAAAGGACTGACTGAATCAAATTTTAACATAATTGATCTTCAAAATTTGGCTTCTGACACATCGTAGATGTCCATCTAAATAAACCAAATACAATTCTCAAGCGTGGCTTATGTCAAAAGAATGACCGCTAACTAAAGCTGCCATGAAGAGCATTCATCTATGCTTTTTTTTTCCTTTTCAGTTTTATTATGTAGAATTATTACAGTTTAACTGCATATACACATTATATTGCATGTAAATACATATATACAGTATACTGCACTTTTTTTTTAGTTTTCATATATGCTTTTAACAGTAACAAGTCTTAGAGTTTTGGTATGTTTTCAGGCTTAGTCTGGAGTGGGGGTTGGGGAGCAAGGGAGATGTTCTGTGGTCTTTTAAAATCAGGAAACATTCAAAACTGCAACATTATACAAATTACAAAAAATTCTGAAATTTTCAGAGACTTGACTGAATGTTCTTTTGTATGTGAATCTTCAGAAAGGGAATGGAGGGTTTCCTACTTTGAAAACTTACTTGGAATAACTTAGGACAACTACAGAAGCCCTGGCTTAAGACACAAGATGCAAATACAGATGTCTCTGCAAGAAATCTGAGAGGCAGGGGCATTACAACGTAGGGTGGGAGGCAGATGGCCTGAATTTTTCCCTTACCTCGGCCAGCAATTAGCTGACAAGTAATTGGCAAGACCCTGGACAAAGCATTTTTGTCCCCAGACCTCAGTTTCTGATTTGCAAAATGGAGATAAAGTGATAAAACTGTTGTGAAAATCAAATTAATAAACTCATAGGGAAATTGCTGTATAAGCTGAAAAGCACTGTGTGAATATGATTTCATTTCTATTTTTATTATTATATTCCAATATTTTTCCTTGAAGATTTATAACACTTGCTTTTTCTAATTAGAAGTCTGATTCTCTGAGTCTCTGCTAGCACAAAATGAAGCAGTTTTCTATCTAATATAGTTGTCCAACTACAGGGCCAGATCAAACAAGTATATGACTAAGTTTGAAAGTTCTTCTAATTTTCAAATTAAAAAAAATGCTTTCAAATAGGGAATAAAAATATAAATTAGAAAGATAAACCAAAAGCTATTTTAAAATAGTTACTATGGGGCAAGAAACAGAAATAGGAAGTGGATGTCTCTATATATATTGACTTTGGGACTCTGTAAAAACCTTATATAATCAAACAATATAATTATTTCAGAAATAAAAAGCTGAGCAATTCCTTAAAATGAAAAAAAAAGAATCTTTTTTGCATAACAATTACTGACATAAACACACCTTGGTCCTGGACTTCCTGGCCTCCAGAACTGTGAGAAATCAATGCTGTTGTTTAACCAATGGTCTATCGTATTTGTTACAGCAGCCTGACAAAGACATCTACATTCATCTTCTTAAAAAATGCATATTATGTAAATACCTGCTCACTGAGCCGTTTCAGAAGCAGTGACAGATCTGAAGCAATGACCACCTCTTCGATTCTGGTCTCAGAACTTTATTTTTCTCCATGGGAAATTGATTGAGTCCGAGTCTGAGTGAAAAAATATGTTGAATAGATATGCGGCATCTTGTGCTTCAAAGCAAGAAAGTTGTCAAAGATTATAGAGGTCAAAGCAAAGCGACAGAGGAGACAATGAGAGCAGCTCCCACTGGTTCATTTGTGGAACAGTTTGGGCATCGACAGAAATGACTGGAAAAGCCTGAAATAAATCTTTTGTGTATATAAAATCACGAGTTAGTAATTACACACACAAAAACAGCACACACTCATTGGTTATCTTTGATAGCTACTAGAAGGTTAAAAAAATTGATTTAATAAAAGGGAAAGGACTATGCATGACCTATTCTGCTGTTCCTTTATATGGTTTATTTCACATTGTTTTTCCAGGGTAACCATTGCTTCAACTTGGTACAACTCGGGTCAGCAGGGGGCCAAAGCTCACCATGGAAATAAGGTCATTCATTGTTGAAGCCACTGTTGACACTGATCACAGGTCAGCTTCTCCATCATCACACCTCCTCCTTCTTCTCCCAAGAGCACTACCTAATAAATACCCCAGATGCTAATCTCCATCACGAAGTCTGCATCCTATGAGACCCAACCTGTTCCAAGCAATGACTGCCATGTCTGGTCTAAGAAAGCAAATGCTAAGATAGGATTTTAGAGCCAAATCTCTTGTTCCCTAGCTGGCAATTAGAACCTCTTCACGAATGGCAGGTGGAGCTTAGATGGACGTTAGCACTGGTGGTAGTGTAACTGCTAATATTTTCACCAGTTTGGTACCCTGGTGGAAGGACATGCATTAGCTCATGCAGGGTGTCAGACATTTGAGAAATATGGGAGAAATAATAACATAAGGAACAGAATTGGGTGAGGTTAAGTGATACTTTGGAAAAATAAAAATTAAGAATGATTAATCTACAATTAAAAGCTAAGTTTAACAGCCATTGGTTCCTTTAATGATAGATAAATAGACAGATAACAGATGAGATAGATAGCTAGCTAGCTAGATAGGCAGACAAACAGATAGATAAGTGAATGAAATCAGCCACATCCAGATGTGGGAAATTCTTCAGGACAAATGAAGTACTATCTTTAACAAATAAATAACATTATAAAAGGGTATTTAGAGGCAAATTAACTACAAATAATGTGTCACCTGATTCAAACAAATAACTGTAAAAAGACTTTTTTTTAGAACCATGAAGAAAATAGAACATGGACTGGTTAAAAGATGATATGGTAGTAAGTACTTATAAAATGTTATTTGTGATAAAATACTAAATTGAGTTTTTAAAAAGTCATTATTAGAGATTTATATTGAAATATGTACAGGAGAAATGATATAATTATCTGGTATTTGCTTTGTAATCATCTAGGGAAAAAACACAATTCCTAATGCAATTTCTATTTTGTTTTAAAAAATCTAGGTAGTTCTGTATATAGACCATTTAAAAACATGGAAATATATATACAAAAAGTTCACAATGATCATCTTTAAAGAGTAAGATTAAAGAAATACTTTGTATTTTACATATTCCTGTGCTTTTTGATTTTTTATGAGTATGCATTAATATTTAGTGAGGTGAAAATATTTCTTTTTCAAGAATTTAATATATATTATATATAAGTGTGTATGTGCATACATATGTATATGTATGTGTGTTTGTGTGTATATATATATACACACATATATATGTATATATGTATATATATATATATATATATATATATATTCTTACTTAATGAGACAAAGTATAAATATGCCTTAAAAAAAGAATAGCACTGTTGGTGTTACAAGTTTTAGTGATCTGTTCTTATCAACTTTTTCTCTCATTCTATCAAAACAAATTTTTAATTCTGTATTGGGCTATGAATTTTTCAAAGATATGTTTCCTGACCATAAAGAACTTCTGTAAAATTAACCTTCATCTGTTATGGATTTGTTTAAAACATCCTTTGCCTTAATTCCACTCAAGTAAGAGCCTTTATTAAATTATTTGTAATTGCCATGAAGTTGAATTGGGACTTGTGCTGTAAAGAAGCATGGGAAAAGTCACGGGAGAACAGCCCTAATGAGGATATATTGCATAAGCTACAAAAACATAGTTAAAAATAATCAGAGTTGAGGATGAAAAGATCCTAAAGGAACAAATTCCAAAAACTGGTGGGCTCTTCCTGGTAGAGAGGTGAGCCAACCCGCTTTCCTCCATGAGGGAATGGTGTAGAAAGAGGAGGAAGCTACCATAGATGAGAGTAAGAAGAAATTACCCAAACTTCCCATTATGCCTTGGTGACTGTGTGAAGGCTGGTGATGACTTGGAGTCCCTAGCGGTCTGGGCCCCGGAGCAAGTCCTCGCCCACCCGCCATTTTCCCACCGAGCATCACTGCAGATGGACTTGCCGCCGGGGACGGGGCAAGGCAGCTGGGCCCTCCCCCACAGAAGCAGCCCACTGAAGCCCAGGGACCGGGCAAGAAAAATCTGCCTGAGGCACTTCAGGCTCTCAGTGGATACAAGTAATTGCTGCTGAAGGTTGGTGGTGAGGCGGGAAGATGAAAAGAGATTCTCCCAAGGGTCAGGAAACCGAGAGTGTGAATAAATAACAAAGAGTGCCCTGAGCAATCCGAAAAGCTAGCAGCCCACGTGCAGAAAGGAACTCGACTGTAAAGCATAATGAGAACCTTGAGATCTTGTCAGAGCTCAGATCCAAGTCCTACCGAAGGGAAAGTCCTGATCCAGCCTTCAAAGCGTTTGAAGACAGTGGTGATCTAAATCTCACTAAAGCTGTAGCAAAGCAGAGGCAGCTGACATTAATCAGATTGTGCCGACTTAGCTGCCTGTGCTAGAGGCTTGACAGCAAAAAAGAGGCTTGAGCTGGGCAGGGAGGGGGTAGTAAATAACACTGCTTCAGTCTGTCCTGTTCTTTTACTTACAATCCCCATCATAAAACCCAGAATTCTGAGACATCCAAAGTGAGAATAAGTGATCTATATTTAAAATAATAAATAATTAACAGAAACAAGCCCACAGATGGATGGCAAGATGGAATTATCACAGGGACTTTAAAATGTTTCAATAAATGTTCTAAAGAAACTAGTGGAAATGTTACTAAACAAATGAAAACAGATGATGAATTACAGTAAAAAAAGAGGGCAACTATTTGAAAAAAAGAAACAACACTAGAAATAAAAAATGTAGTATCATAGAAAGTTTATTCAATGGGCTAATTTGAAAATGACACAGATTTTAAAAAGCCATTTGGTTGAACACAGGTCAATCAAAATTATCCAAACTGACGCACAAAAAGAAAAAAAAGAATGAAAATGAATATATGTATGTTTATGTATGGCTGAAGCATTATGCTGTATGCTAGAAATCGACACAACATTGTAAACTGACTACACTTCAAGAAAAATACATATACAAAAAAAGGAAAAAGAAAAAAAAAGAAAAAGAACTGACTATCTAAGATCTATGTGGCAATATGAAACTTGCCTACCCGTAACGGGTTTCACAAGGAGAGAGTATGGAGAATCAGACAAAGGAAATAGAGAAGTAACTCATCAAGAAGAGATAATGGCCACAATTTTTCAAAAATTGATGAAAGACACTGACCGACTGACTAACCATCTGAATTAACGCTAAGCAGAATAATTCCGAAAAGGCTAAATTAAGATTCAGTTTCATCCATAGGACATGGTACCATGTTTGGAAGAGAAGATGCTCAAAATTATCTCCTGAATTGAATTGAATAGAATCAAGCAATTATCAAAGAAAAAGAATGAATTCTAGTCTCATTCCCAAGCTGACAAAGCCGGAATACCAAAAAGATGTTCAGAATTTGTCCCTCTTCTTTACTGCCCTGCTCACTTTCTCAGCCAGGCTCCTTCCAACGTGGTCCCTGGACCAGAGCATCAGCACAATTGAGGGCTTGTTGTCTGTGCACATCTCAGATGCCACTGCCAATGCCCTGCACCAGAAATGCAGAGCTGGCCCAAGACACTGTGTTTTAGCAACCCTACAGGGGATTCTCAGGAGCCCTGAAATCTGAGAAGAACTGCTCTAACTACCCTCAAAATCTATTTAATTACAACCCAGAATGGGCTCTTAGACATAGAACCGGAGTTTTTGATTGAGATGTTTTAAAATTCAACAGACTTACTAAATAATTTATATGTAATATAATCACATGCCTGTATGTGTACATGTATATAATCACCTCAGGCATCCTATCAAACAGGAGGTCACCTCACAGCCCTAGCTACACCTGTCATAACAGTTATTCCAGGACCGTCCAAGTCTTCCCAGACACCCTTTACTCTAAGAATGTCTCCAAGAAGCAAAAGTTAGAAGCAGCCTTCTTGGGAAGACCTTGCTCATAATCTCTTTCTTAAACAAGCCATTGTATGAAATGAAATTTGTTTGTTTGCTTGATTTTTTTCGCCAGGAAAGATGCCCACTGATTGGCTTGGCAGCCTTTTCTATATCCTGCTGTTTAGGACAATGAAGTGGAGAGAGTGTACACTTCGGAAGTGGACAGATACTAGTCCAAAACTTGGTTCTGCATGTTCCAGCCATGCAACCTCAGACCAGTTCCCCAATCTCTCTGAGCCCCAGGTCTCATCCAAATATCAAATAAGACAGGAAGTCTAAACTGTACTGGCACTCCCTTCTTCCATCTCTGATTTGTCAATAATTTGTATTTCTGGACCCTTTTCCCAAACCCTAGGACTGACACAGAAAATAAGGCCCTGCCCCCACTCTGCCCACAGTGTGATGCACTGAGGAAACACAGTAGATTTGGGGAAGTGGGTGCACAAGTATCTCTAATGCTGACTTCCAGCTGCTCCCACCTCACAACCACCCACAGGGACAAGGGGGAGAAACCCCTTCCCACAGTTGGGCTTTCCTCACTTCCGACGCCATGAGAGAATGATCACAGGTCCCACAGGAAGCACGGCTGGCCTTGGAGTCTTTTTGCTCCAAGAGAGCGTCTAATTGTCCCTTCAGTGTGACAGCCTTCCTCCG